TCTTTCACACGAACAATTATATACGATAACACTGTCTTCACAAGCAGTATAATGAGTCAACAAACCATTTCACCGTTACTCGCTGAATCAAAGAGAGACAGTATCGCTGAAGTGCTGCCGTCTTGTGTACACACATACAAAGATATGCACTTTGCCCTGTTATGTAAAAGTCAGCAAACAAAGATCACCTCGAAGAAACCGGTAATTAATTGACTTTACTTGAAGTTTGCATCCTGACGTTGGATGCACATAAGACACCAGCTGGCAACTGCACACGCTTCAAAGGGGATGCATTTGAACCATGGTCCTCATATTCGTACAACAATTTTTTTTGCATTAACATTCAATTTTTCTCGAAAAGATGGAAAATTTGTACTTATGGCATGACTAATTGTTATGCAATTTTCATCATTTTGCGGAAGTTGTGAAATAAAGTTTTATAAGTCAGTTTGTAGAGAATTGATCGCTATACAAGATGCGATGAATATTTCTGGGGGCACTTTTTATATAGGCCGGAATTTTTCAATTGATTGGCATTCAGTTTTCACTTGAAAAAATTCAAAGACATGTAATTTTGTGCATTTTATATCAGGCTTTCCAGCGAGATGTTGCTGAAAGAGAGCGGACAAAAAAATGACTGAGATATAGGCAAAATACTGAGGATAGCACTTTTTCTGAAAAGTCTGGTACACCTTATTTTGTAAATTCTATAACTCAGTCAAAATAAGTTCTGGAGGTCTACAAATTTTTTCATAACCCCAGTTTTGATCATAGAATCCGAATGTGTGATCAAAACTTTAGGTCAATACATATCGGGTTACAGCATTTATCACGGGGTTGGCAAAACCTCTCTTAAACTAAAATCGAAAATAAAATAGAGTTAAGTTAACTTTACTTAAGGTAACTAGTGGAAGTTAGTCAAACCGTTGTAGAATTGAAGCGTCTCGTAAACGGCACTTACATCCCTCCGCCTTAAAGTCTTTTCTGATATCCAAATATGTTTTGTTTAAACAGTTAAAAAGCAATATATGTTAATATAACAGGACGCAACTTTTGTTGTTTGATATCGTTGTGTATTTTGGAAAACATGTTTTAAAAGGCGGTCGCACAGCTAAACACTGTTACTTGCGTTTTACGGATGGTCCTAGAGTTTTTATACAATATTTTCCATCGTATTCCATCGACGTTCTACCACAGGGATCACTATTTTCTCGGGGAAAGTTAGAGCCACGTGATGAAATATCAACATGCGTAAAAACATCGTCTGATGATACTGAAGGAGAATTGTATGGTGGCTGACGCCTATCGTTCACTAATGAAGGTCTTCTACCTTCATTATTAGGAATAGGCTGCTGCCGATATTTCATTATTGTTTCGAAAAATTCTTGTCTTTTTGTCTTCAACTTGTTTAGTATTTTTTATATGTAAATAGGCATCAGCATCTCTGGCTGTTAATGGTAATTCGTTTCCAGCTGAACCACATAGAATAAAATTGAATCGAACATTTAATTCATTTCGTTTAAATTTAATATTTGATAATCGTTCTTTTATAACTTGATGACTGCTATTATCACGACCATCAGTAAAACAATATAACTCACACCTAGATATTGCTTGACTTGCGAGGTATTCTAATGTTTCATCAATAACGTCATAGATAGCTGAACCAACTGAAGGTGGACTACAAACAAGTTTATGAAGCTTTTCAATGTTCGCTTCGGTGTTCGCTTCTTTAGCATTGCACAAATTGATAATGGGTGACTGCAAACGTTTTTCTCAAATACATAAATTTCAATTTGATGTTCATCGTCGCAACTATTGTCAACTGCATTTTTTATTTTATTCAGTTACTGTTTAATGATTTTGAGTGCCAAATATAAATTTGATCCACCGGCAATAACCTTCGGAAAATGCATGCACGACCAGTTTATCGATGAGCTAACATCCAGCAATATGCATGTACGCGCTTTATGTCTAAACTTTCGCTGAAAGTTTTCAATTTCACTTTTATTGAATGTATAACCGACGCATGGTTTATAGTGAAAACCGGAGGAAAAACTACCGCTTGATCATGAAGAAATCTTCAAAGCAAAAACCGTAACGGACTTACACGTTTTTTTGCACTTTTTGGGCTGAACTGCATCACCTTCGAATTTCAATAAAATAACAAATTCCAAGTGCCTTCTTTTTCTAAATTCTTTC